GTGGGTGCGCGATATTTCGGGACGCGCATGGGCGATATTTCGGGTAATATGGTTAATTTTTTCAAAAAGTCAAAATTCGAATTAACGCTCCGGCCCGCTATTACGCGCAAATACGGTACTCACAGTGCCAATAATAACTTCTCACGTTTCTGTCGCTGATTTTAAACGAAAAATATCTAAAAAGAGGAAGAGTAATCCCTGGTAACTAAATCCTGAAGAGATTCGGTCCATTTCACATTTCAGTCATCGATTTTGGCGAAAAAAAAAGCCAGAAAAGAGAAAAATAACAGAAAAAAAAATAGCCAATACTTATCCTAAGGATCAGTCTAGTCCATTGCGTCCAATCACCACTTTCGTACGAGATAATATCTGAAGAAAGAAAAAAAGTTTCTGTAACTGTTTAGGTAATAAAAAAAAAATTTGGTAGCATCCTGGTTATCAAATTTCAAACGAAAAAAGTCTAAAAACAAGAGGAAGTTGACTCCAACAATTGAGAATGACAAAAATAAAGAAACCATCAAAAAAACTCCAGGAGAGTTACTAAAGAACTCTAAGAAAGTCACTAAAGAGCTTCAAGAAAGTCGCCAAAAAACTCCAAGAAAGTCGCCAAAAAACTTCTAGAAAAAATCGCCGGAATAGCTCCAAGAAATCTAAGTCGCAAGAGGAACCCAAAAAAACAGTTAAAGAGCTCCAAAAATGTTATCAAAGAACTTTAAGAATGTCACCAAAGAACTTCAAAAATATTGTGAAAAAACTTCAAGGTTTCCAAAGAATTTTAATATCGTTAACAAGAACTCAAAGTTGCCAAAATCTTCGTCTTTTCATTAGAACTAGACAGGATCTTGAGCAACTGTACTAGACGGTCCATAAGTTCCTATCGTCTTTTCGAGTTTTTGTATCCACCAAAATTGCAAAAATACAAAGCCACAATTTGTTTTCAAATGGAATCCTTTTTATTTATTTTTTATTTTATTTTTTTTATTTTAAGTTTTTCATGAGATTCGTATAATCATTTGTGAATTCGAATAGCTAATAAATGTTCTTTATTCTCACTAGTAGATAGCTTATTATACTTAAATTAATAAGCGTTCTTTATACTCACATGCAAATAAATTAAATAGTAAATACTCATGAGCTTGAATAACCTATTTTTAAATATTCGTTATGCTTACAAATTAAATTAACGTGAATAAAATAAAAATTAAATGGTAATTATTCATAAACTTGAATAGTATTTTAAATATTTAATAAAAGTTCTTTATACTCACGTATTAAATTAACGCGAACAAGTTACTGTAAATGGTAAAGATTTGTGAACGATGGGTAATATACTGGCGAATGCATGGAATTAATATGAAAATATGATAACAAATTAATAGATTAAATAATTGGTACATATATGGAATTATTCAAAGGTTGAATGTAAAAACCTGGTCTGGATTTTGATAGGTATATAATTATAAAAAGCACGAAGATGAATGATGTAATAACTAATTAACAATACAAATATTAATTTATCTATATACAATGAAGTATAATGAAACTCAAAAAATTTCAGAATTTTAGAGACAAAATGAAAATTGATAGTTAAAGAATTAAGGATAATCTAAAAGTGAAGATAAATAAAGTAGATGCTAAAATAGACTAGTATTCTAGATACTAAAATCATTCAGTCAATAATTGTTATTTGTTACAAAAATTAAGAAACTTTACTTACCAATCAATAATGCAATACAGTATATAAATATATTACTTAATTGTCAGGCGATAAATAAAATTATATATAATACTTTAACTAATAATATATTATCTACATTTTATATCCAGTATCTTATATAAGAAACCTTCAGGCTGTTTACTTTTATCCTAGTTGCCCATTTTAGCAAGATAAAATAGATTCCATAAGATAATTGAATAATATTTTTACAAAAATTAGAATGTTCTTCTCACACTTGGATTTTTAATGTGTGTTGCAATCATACTACCGTAATCTGCCGCATAAACCACCCTTTAGAATAGATCCCACGTGATTTTTTTACTAATAATTTTCAATTAAATAAAAGGGTAGATATATGCGGCAAATTGCGGTATATTTCTCGATTACATTGTGCATCTACCCTAATTTTTTAGACTATGCAAACTTTCAATTTTGTGAAATGATATATCACCTTTAATATTGAATCGTACACATATGAATGCTTGAAAGGAAAAATCAGCAAATAAAAATTTATCATCTGAATTGTAATCCTGGTCATTTCGGTAATATAATATATCAACACCAGATAGTATTTGGTATTAATATGTTCACTTTGATCGTATATGTG